AGCCAGTTTACAAACAAACTTGAAGGAATGTTCAAGGTCTGCATTTTTGGTTTCTCACGTAAATTTCAGTTCAAGAATTTTTGTTGCTGTCTATGGCTGCCAAGCCTTGTAATCCTAATTTCTGTATTACTATCCGTAATCTGAGCTGGTGCATTCTCTGTCTTTGTGTATTTATGGAAGAATTGATAACTCTCTCATTTAGATGCTATTATTTCCATAAGTAGGCTATCATGTTCTGGGGTGTGGACGGTACACATTCTAGTATCTTTCTATCACACTTGAGTTTCACTTTTTTTTCTTGAGCAACTGTTGTATACTCTGAAGTTTTGTTGCCTGAAATTTTATTGTTGTCCAGGATATTGAATTATCAAAGGAGATAAATGAATCATTCAAGCAGTCATCCCAGGCCAGGACAAAACTTCCATCAGGAATTGAGATGAGTGTACATGTCTTAACAACAGGGTAGATTTTATTTTGCTATATTTCAATCAAACATAACCACAATATTTAATCGCTTGATATTTCTAAGGCCTTACAATTCCCTTTTTGGTGGCTTAACTGCAGGTATTGGCCCACATATCCACCTATGGATGTTAGGCTTCCGCATGAACTGAATGTTTATCAGGTTTGATGCAAGCAATGCAATGGACATTTGTTATTACAGTTACCAGGAATGTTTCTATGAAGTTGTGTAACACCTTTCTTCTGTTTGGTTTATCAGGACATATTTAAGGAGTTCTACTTAAGCAAGCACAGTGGGAGACGGCTAATGTGGCAAAATTCTTTAGGTCACTGTGTGTTGAAAGCAGACTTCCCCAAAGGTAAAAAGGAGCTGGCAGTTTCCCTGTTTCAGGTTGGTCTCTATTGTATTGTTCTATATTATATTTCTTATCTTTTTATTGTTTGAAATTTTTTGTCTTTGCTGCATAAGTTGACAACTACTACGTTCTAATCAATCTCTGGATTCTATACACCAGACTGTTGTTTTGATGTTGTTCAACGATGCTGAAAAGCTTAGCTTTCAAGACATCAAAGACTCCACCAGCATAGAGGATAAGGAACTCAGGAGGACTTTGCAGTCACTGGCATGTGGAAAAGTGCGAGTCCTGCAGAAGGTAAGTAGTGATTAATGGGAATTATATTTCCTTTTTATTGCTAGTTCTGTTAATGTTGTGACTACTTCCAATTCCAAAAGAAAAATATTGTCACCACTAGGTTTTGGCTTCACTTTATGTTTTTCCTTTTATCACTACTCTGTTTGCTAACAGTTGCCCAAGGGGAGAGATGTGGAGGATGATGATTCATTCATTTTCAATGACGGATTTGCTGCTCCTCTATATCGAATTAAGGTATATCTATTTGCTGTGTTAAACTGCAATCATCAGAAAATGCCTCTCTGAATCAAACTAGATATCAGGATTACCTTCTTTATTGATCTCTCTGAATTCCAGACAAAACAGTTTCATCTTAACCCGATTGCTAACAATTGCTGTGAGTAGAATGGAGCTTGATGTCCTTTCTCACAGTTTTCTTTTTCTATGGAATGTAGGTGAATGCAATCCAAATGAAAGAAACAGTTGAGGAGAACACAAGCACCACTGAAAGAGTATTTCAAGACCGTCAATATCAGGTTTATGTTTACTTGTGTTCCCTTCCATTGATGTAATTGAACATAATTTTTACTGATATTTCAGCTCCAGCTAGCAAAATAAAACATATGCATAATGGCTTTCTTGTTGCAGGTTGATGCTGCCATTGTTCGAATAATGAAAACAAGGAAAGTCTTGAGTCACACTCTTCTAATAACCGAGCTCTTCCAACAGGTAAGGCATTCTGATTGCTTCCAAATGCTTAGAAATGAGACCTCTACACAGTCCCCACTCCCCCAGTGATTGCTCATGAAAATCATATTGCACTCTATCTATGAAATTTAGTTATAAGCTGACAAGTGAGCATCATAATAAGAAATACGATTAATATTTTTTGTAAAGAGCTAAGTACCCTTTCATTCTTTTACTAAACGTCATGATTGCTAACCCAGGTGGGTTTATCTGTTAACCCAGGTGGGTTTATCTGTTTACCCACAAACATACTCTAAATCTTCAATTGTATATATTAACCATTTGGAGAAACGTTTGTTTCTGTGAACAGCTCAAGTTTCCCATAAAACCGGCTGATCTGAAGAAAAGGATTGAGAGCCTGATTGACAGGGAGTACCTGGAGAGGGATAGGAACAACCCTCAGATATACAATTACTTGGCATAATCAATTTTTTCCTTGTTTTTTCACACTAGATCTCTCCCAAGAGGGCACGGGAAAGACTAATCTTTTTAATGGAGGCAGGATGTTGAAATCTATTTTCAGATGAATGTACAGTAGCGTGTAAGTTTGCTTCAATCAACATTGTAATTACAAGTTGCTTTTAGTTTAGCCTCTGTTTTTGATACCCATTTTATTGTTATGAATTTGAGTAACTTGAAATAAGTATACTCCCATATTCTTATGGAGTGTTATTTTTATTCTCTTTTTGGTCTCCTAGACCTGGTTACCTTTGGCCAGATATAATGTCACGAGATATAATGCATCATTAAATATTAAATTTTTTATTTAAAATTTAATAATAATATTATATATTTATTTAATGATATGATATGGTATTATAATTATGAAAAATAATTGATATATGCTTAGTTTAATATATTTTTTGATGTATTTTTTATTTAATTATTAAAAATATAATATAAATATAATTGATTTAATTAGTTTTTATGTTTTGTGTGCATGATTATATCTTTTAATTTGTTTGTTTTTAATGTCAGATTAAAAAAAATGATTTTTTAGTAAATGTATTATATAATGTATTGAATCAATATGTATTAATCTATAATGATATATTATGCATGCATGAGTGGGCCAAGTTCGAATAAAATGGGTGCTTTGAATTTAATAATTTATAACCATTTCATATACGATTCATAGCATTCTTGGTTATATATATATATATATAATTGAGCTATTTGTATTCTCTTTTTGTTAATTTTTAATAAATATAATTTGATTTTTTATTTTTTATATAAATTTTAAATAAAATTTTAATATATTATATAAATAATAATTAAAATTTTTTAATCAAATAAAAATAGTCAATAAGAATTATATAGAGAGGAAAATTTAATAGTTGTTTATATTTATTATTAAATTTTTATTTAAAATTTATATTTTAAAAATTAAAAGTCAAGATAGATTTATTAAAAATGACTTGGAGAGAATAATTGTAGGTTTGTTTTTCTATTATTTAAAAAATAAAAATATATAAAATATTAATTCAAATTAATATAAATATGTAAAAATTAATTAAAATTAATTAGTAATTATAAATTTACATTTTCTTAAAGAAATATTATTTTTTTTAATTTTAAATTTATCTCTAATTAATTTTTTTTTTCTTTAGTAAGGTAGATATTTTTTTTTCTTATTTTAACCTTATTATTATTTATTTATTTTAAT